GAATGGCGATTTCTTCGATTATGGCTAGTGTCCAAACTCGGGTCGTCATTGATCCATTTAGAGGTACGCGAAAAACTACAGTGAAAGCTTCCTTCGGTTAGATCTTGTGTTTGGTGGACACTATATGTCCTTTGATTATGCTGCAGATAGCGCCGGTCTAACCGTAAGCTAAACATCGCTGGTGGTGATCTTAACACGTTGAAAAAAATAGCTTACCTTGAGACACCTAATACATTTTAAGCAGTTTATCTTTCACATGTGCAGACCAGTGGCTACAAGGGTCGTGTGATTTATAGCCGCTCTAAGTGACTGCAAGTAACTTTTGGTATGTGAATCCATTTGAAGTATAGTCCCCATGAGTAGTTTCTTCCTAAGGGCACAAAGGAATCGTTGCTTTTCAAGGATGGGCTGAATATTCTTATCAACTAACTTTACTAGATAAACACTGTCCCGCAGTATTTGATGGATAAAGTGCAGCTCTTCGTTCAAGCAAGATAGCTCACTAGGTTACGCAGTGGTTCAAAATGTCGAAGCCATAAAAGTTGGTGTATTGATCATTAGATGTCTTTTCTGGACGTAGATACACGCAGAAAGGTTTAATATTTTGTTGACTTCTACTTCTACTGTGGGGATTCTATAGAACCTCCGTTCATTTCTTGAAAGAGGGCACCCTTAAATACAAAAGTAGACGTCGCGTTTACAAAGCAGTTGCAGTTTCTTCAATATTATGACCGAGATACCGACATTCCTACTTGGCACTTCTATTTGACCGCCGACAAAATGGATTGTCTTCATCAAGGATACACTGATATCCACGGGAGAAAGAATTTTCCTGCCACTTTAGATACTTTACGTTGGATACAAACCTCTGAGTCATTCAGTTTTCTTTAACTCAAACAAATGTTTTCACCTTTCCGAAACGATGCAATTGAATGGCATTGATGCCTGAAAGTGTCTAAGAAATGCTGCTCAAACTGCACTGTTTCAGCTTATTAGCAGTGGTTCGTTATCGGAGGATGTTTCAAAAATAACTTCCACTTTGAGTGAATCTCCGGATGGTTGACTGTTTTCAACACTTTGATGTCTGTTGTGAACAGATTAATGTAAAGGCATATGGAAATGCCCCCCTCCCTCCCTCAAATCACATTGAACGGAGTGCTCTTAAACGGAGCAGTGAAACATTAAAAATCGTCACAGTCCTCTGTACTCTGACCATGTGGCGTAAGTTGGCCAACCGCCATGCATGAAACGAAAAACGTCATCATTTTTGGAAACTGCATCATTTATTCATTGTTTTTTGTAGGTAGTTAGCCAGAAAATGTGATCATGAAACACCGCTATGACCTTGATTTTTTAGGTCAGTACTGAGATAGCCATAAATTGATACACACACCCATTTTCCGTTGAAGTGTAAGTGATGGTCCACACAATGACAGAAATAAAATTATGGAAAGCATATGCAAACACAGACAAGCCTAGGCTAAATCAAAAAGTGTGTACTATGGTGAGAAACCGTGGTCATCCCGGTTATGAAATTGGTCTGCAACAAGTGTTGTAACTAGAGAAACAGAGCTATAGGGAACATTCGCAGTCACCAGAATCAAATTGCGATAAACATATAGCTGCAGGAGACATCCATCAGGGTGCCCTCTCGCTCTAAAACTTCTAATTTCAAACATTCAGTTGAATATGTATCACTGTTACTGAATTAATCCATATAAACATTCATTAGAGNAAAGATAGAAGAACGACTTGTGTCGTAATGAACTGTGGAAGTATTTAAGTATAAATGCTGGAGGTTGTAGCCAGTGAATGTTAGAAGTAAAGTTTTCTTTTGTAGCAGTACATATCTGGTTGTATAACCGGATATTCTTTATGGGGTTGGGTGTTGGATGATCCATGTTTGCACTAAAAAAATATCTGAATTTCACACATTGAAATGCTATGCATATTTGTTGCACTTGTTTTTCGATGGGGCACCTACAAATGATTGATCCCTTAAGGGAGTAGTGATTGGGAAACAAGTCAGGATAGCCAGCTCCCGACTTGAAGAAATGGCACGAAAACCTTGACCAGCGGAGTGGACGAAGCTACTGGTATTGGGATCGCTAGTTGCAATTGACATAGGACGTAAGATAAGACCAGAAACATCACGGGAAAATGTGACGCATTCTGTATCGCAGTATCAGTGTCGATTTCAGTGATCTTATCCACCGTTGTACTTCTTTCCTCATTGGTTGACCAAATGTGTAGTTGACAGAAAGCGACCAGAAACAGCGCACGAAAATTTAAAGTCGACGATGACATGAACTGAACTGAACTGGAGTGAGCAGATGTCAACTACGTCCTGCTAACAACTTCACTAAATTCTAGTTAAAAATACTGTGGCAAGGTTGATCAATACTGTTTCTGTGTACGACTTGTCTCCTCGGGATAATTGATTCATCTGAGGGAATAAAGCGGAATTTCCCGTAAATAGGTTGAAAGCTAGAGCACCCGCCGTTTGACGATGTAGTTGCACACAACACCATGTGCAACATTTGATGTAGCATACCTAAGTAGCAGTCCAACAAATATCGGCGATCCAGGAACAAGCACAGCATTCATGTGTGAATAAATAAAATATGCGGATAATTGAATATGGCTGTTAGAAGTCATTGCATGTTTGTCTGTTCGACAGAATAATCTGGAAAGTCATAAACCTAAAAATAGCACACACGGTATTCATTCCGTTGGAACGGGACGGGGTTAATGCCAAACAAGACTATGACCGTGAAGTTCCAGTATAGTAGCTCGATAAATCATTAGGACCAACAGAAACGCCTTAAGGGCAATAAAGCATATTCGGGCGTTCTTGAGTAGATTCAGCGGCATGTTGTTGATCAAGAAGAATTTAAGCAACACTTACGAATGTTCTTAGCTTTAGGTGACCAAATAAAGCTGAATGACGAAGTATTCTCTAAAACCAAAAAAACATTTACGAAATACGCCAGGAGAAAGAAAAATGTGGAGAAATGAACCAAATTACAACAGACACTCTACTACTACAGGGGTAAAAGCAATGATCGTATGACGTAATAACTCTAAATAAGATATGCAAGTTACCTATATACAGAAAGCCTCTTTAGTTTCATCTCTTTATCAAGTCGGAAATAAAATAGACTAATAAATTTTGTGAAAATGTATAAATGCATAACTTTTGAATTCCAACGATGCTTCCGATTTTTTAACAGTTCAAGCAAAAAGAAACAGAATTAATTAGCCCGAACAAATTAAATCATCAATCAGGAATTTGTGAGGATTGTTAATGCAGGTAATTCTTTCAAATTTTATAGAAAACCCAAGAGCCAAAGGAAAACATAACTTGATTAACAGAGAAAAACAACTTTTGTGGCTTGAGGTTTCGATTGAAAGCTTTAGCCTCACCAGATTACATTTTATCGAAAGAACTTCTCACCTAAGAAATTCCTCACATAATCACTTAAACAAGAGAAAACGCAGGAGATGGAAGAATCGCTACGTAGGAGATAGTGGTTGTACGCCATGGAACAGCAGGACGATCGATACAAAGCGCCGTATAGATCTTTCGTCTCAGTTGGGATTCATCTGTAGTGCGTATCATATTATTGTTTCTGCCAAGACTTGAGCCGCAAACTTTTAGGTTGGAAGCCGAAATCCCTACTCCTCCCAGGGTTTGCGGACCTAGTTACCTGTGAAATCTCATGGACTACACAAGACTATTTCTGAAACAGTAGTGGATTTCAGAGGAAGCACTGGTTAAAATTGAAATCGTGTTCAGAAACGACCCACGAACCAGAGAGTAGTCACGATGGACCAAATTGTCCGCAGTACCGAATTCGACCAGACTGCGTTGAACGGCCATTTGAACCATCTGTTCTTCTTCATCTAACGCACCGTAATGACCTGGAGAATTTTCGACTGAGTAAGGGGAAATAAATAAGGCAAAATGTTGCGATAATATACCGATTGTTTTCATCAGCAATATGAGCAAAGTTCTGAACGCAGTATCAAAGAAGCGCGACAATATTCAAGCAATAAAATACATAAAATACGGAAATCACCTTACATGGATTTACAATTTGCTAGACGTAAACATATAACAAGAAGTGGGGTTAAATTACATAAAGAATATTAAAATTCCTTCTAATAAGACCACGAAAAACAAAATAACACAGCGGGACGCGCGATAACAATCTAGTTAGAATTGAAATACGCAAAAAGAGCTGTTTGACTCCTTGGGGTTTGTGTTCAACATTTTTAAATTGCGGTCGATGAGTATAAAAAACACGGTCTCCTGTAGCATCTCCTGTTATTACTTCCAAGTTCGGTGAAGGGTTCATTCTTCAGTGCAAATATGACAAACAAAACTAATGTGGCAACTCATTTTCACTTCTGTAAGAGTTGACGTTGCGGAAAATGTTCATCAGACAAGATAAACAGGCATTATTTTACTATCAAATGCGACCACGCATGGCGGAACCGTGAACATTAAATCAAATATGAGGAAATCACCTATGAAAAGTTAAAATATTTTCCAAATGATGGATCTTTTAATGAACGGCCAGTGGAAATCTGTTTTTGTAATGGTGCTGGCAGTTTAAACCAATGATCATTTAGTATTCCCTTGCGCCTGTTCGCCGAACTTGGAATTTGTTTGCAAACGTTTCATCACCAGCCGAGGTGACATCATCAGTGCTTGTGAAGTGGCAGTGTTCCGCCTGTACCCGCTCGTTACAAGCAGTGTTCTGCTTGTATCGAAAAGGATAAACAACTGGCATTTTTGGACACCTTGATCATCAGAACGCCATCAGGTAGACTGAAGACAACGGTATACCGCAAGGAAACACATACGGATCAAATCCTAAACCTCAAAAATAATCATCCACACAGCCACAAAAGATGCTGTGTTAAAACCCTGTTCGGAAGAATCCAAATGCGCTGCAGCACCGACATACACAAGAAAAAAGAAAAAAGATATCCTCAAGGTGTTCGCTCGCAATGGCTACCCCCGCAACTTCATCAAAAGAACTCTAACCCAAAGAAAGAAGGAAACAACAGACGGAGAATCGGGTACAAGAACTACCCTGCCGTACATCAAGGACGTTTCGGAAATGACAGCAAGATTGCTAAGATCGTATGGAATCCAAGTCGCCCACAAACCGATCGTCTGTCTAAGGAGACTTCTGTCAAATCCCAAGGAGGGAACAATGGAGAAGGACAAGAGCAGCGTCATCTACAAAATAAACTGCAAGAACTGTTCAAAACACTATATCGGACAAACTGGGAGAAAACTGTCAACAAGGATCCGTGAACACCAATTGACAGTCAGGAAACATGACCCACTGTCGTTGATTTCCCTCCACGAAGATCAAGAAGGACATCAATTTGACTTCGAATCAGTGAGGATTATCGACCAAGCCCGGACAAAACATGCCAGAGAATTTCTCGAGGCCTGGCACTCTTCAATTAACTCAATAAACAGGCACATCGAACTGGATCACGTGTACACACCAATGCAACTGAAGGATAAAATGACGCAACAAAGAAGGTCACGCCGTGACCAGAGAACGAACCGAAACCGCAATCGGGACGAAAGGACAACCTCTTCTCCTCCCACCATCAACCCCTCACACCAGTTCAACGACAAATAGTGAGAACAGGGGACGAAAATAATCGGTGGATAAGAACACATATCAACGAACGGGTACAAGCCACTTCACTATACTGTATTCTATTTCGCCTGTTCGCCGAGCTTGGTAATTTGTTTGCAAACGTTTCATCACCAGCCACTTCACAAGCACTGATGATGTCACCTTGGCTGGTGATGAAATGTTTGCAAACAAATTGCCAAGCTCGGCGAACAGGCGAAGTGGAATTCAGTTCACCCGAGCTACTAGAACCAATTTTCAATATTTTGTCAGCGTTCATTTAGTCTCTCAGGGGCTGAAAATTCAAGTGTTCTGGATTCGTTTCTCGTTGGAAAATTTTTGGAAATGAAAAAGAACCGAATCTAATGTTTCATTGAATAAAAGCCTCATATCTCTAATCTAACAGTATGAAGTTCCTTTGTCTGATTATTACGCGTACGGCACTGTGAGAGATCCGAGAGCGCGGCTGTTTCCGAAAATTTGTTCAGACAGATCTGTTAACTTTCAAGATAGTAGAAAGCATTTTATCACCTAGCTCACTCTTTTCTGAATCAATAACCTTAATTCAGACAGAGCAGGCAATTATGGAAATTAAAAAATACAGATCTGGTTGTTTTTAATGACGTGGTAAAAAAACAGATCACAACAACTTTCGAAAGTAGCACGAACGAACGAGGGAAAATTATTATTTGTACGTGGAAGATTGAAGCTAATTCATTTGAGTTTTGTAGATTTTTATTTGATAATAAGAATGTCTCCCTCATCTAATTGAGCAAACAAGTGTTAAATAGGGCCAAATCCAATGAAAACATTGTCTCAAAACATACAGAAAATGAAAAAGTTAGGTGACGATGGCGGTTTTTACCGCACGACCTCCAGGCCGATGCAACGTTGATCTGTGCCACTTGAACACCTCCGCTATAAACATATTTATCCATCGAGCATGCTTTTCAGATCCCTAGGATTTAGTTACCATACCAAGTAATACGGTTGGCGGAAATCTGGTTGAAGCATCTTTCTGTCATTAAACAGTCCAATAATAAAGTGTTCACGAGCTGAACAACAAACTGGAAGAACAAAATCTGAAACACGAATTTGCTGAAATGAAGTTATTTGCAATCAAAAGGCTTCGTAGAACTATGAAGAGCAGAAAATGCGATAACTACTGTTGTCCTTGTTCTTTTTGTTTTACGTAATTGTCTCTCGAATATCGCTCCTCCTTCGTACCCGAATCGCCATTTTCTATCATTTATTGCTCTGGCGCTCGCATCACGCTTGTCCGCAAACTAGACGGGAATAACTAGAGTATAACAACCACCAAGAGATACGATACAAATCAATCGGTCTAGATCTAAAGCATTAGAAAGGATGAGAAAACATCCAATTTCCCAATAATCAACCATGTTCAGTTACCAATATTCCTTGTATTAGCTTACGATGCGGCCAAAATTATGAAACTCAAACTGGGATGACGAACGAAAAGAACGGCTGCTCCACTTTTCATAGTGATTTACATGATCAATAGCGTTCAATGATACAGAAGGCTTGCAGAACATTTTAACCCAATCGGTAAATCGGAACTTCAACAAAGCACTTATTGCATGAATAGAAAATCTTTTACCATTGTCTAGTTGCTATTGGGCTTGGTTTGCACCTTCAATGTAGGTAGCTTCTCAACGTGCGGATAATTTGGTCACAACTGATTCACCATTGATTACACAAATTTCTCCATTCATCTAAGATATAAGTTAGAAATGAAGTTAATGCAACTCATGTACCGAATGTCCATGCCAGATAAAGAAAAATGAGGATAGGAACTGCTGTTGTCGAAACTACCTCGATGTCAGAACATTTCACCACTCACTGTGACGCGACATTCTAATAAAATGAAATAATACAATACACAGATGGATTAAGGGAAGGAGTAAAATTTGTTGAATTTAACAAACATTTCTTTCATTGCATATACCACGAAATGAAACACCACTTTAACCATCCATGACAATCGGATTTTCAGTAAACAACTTCAAATTTGTAGGAACCTTAAAGATGACCATGGTTACTGATTTAACAGATTGTTAGCAGCTACCACAACTTACCCAATGAATGCTGTCTTAATGACAGAATCGAAGAGATATCTACGTTTGTTGACGGAAAGAAGACAGATGATGAATGATGTCACAATAAGTACGAAATTTAGCCGCCATTATTGACCGAAGATCATTCTTTCTTCACTTGATACGCAACAAGCGCACAAACAATTGTCAGAAAAAAACTAGCGTAAATTAGGCCGAAATAATGAAACTACAACAAAGCAATAAGTGGTCTGCGCAATGGTGATTTAAACCGCTTCACTACCTCGGCGATGAAATTTTATATAAAGCACAAGAAAAATTATGAAGAATTAAACTGATATCCACAATCACAACTTTATTTAATTCACATAAGGAAAAAGCTGCAGCCTGAAGGAATATTATTAACTAGGAACTCCGTTACAACATCGCATATGAATCCAGTTGATTACCAGCTAACAACCACGTTGATCAAATTGCATGAATATAGTGAAATTACGGAGAAATAGTAGTACCTACCAATGACATGATATCCTTTGCCCACATCGAAAACGCTTTCGTCAATAACACACTTAAGATTTTCGTGTCCAGAAGTAACACTTTGGCCGGATTCACTTGAATTTAGAAGCGGTTGGTTAGTAGAATCTCCCGAATCCCCGTGTAACTTTGCTGAGGCTGTCCTCGCTGCAATCTCTGATTGACTTAGTGGCACAGTGCTCACACCGTACACAGCAGTTTCCAATCCATGAAGGTTTCCGAAAGAAATGCAAGCGTTCAGCACATGATACAACGGTATCTCTGGAAAATAAATAGTCATTCTTTTGAAGTGAAGATCTCTTTGGGGTTGTATCGACGACCGAAATTTTATGAACTCATAAAATAAGAATTAAAACCAAAAACAACTGACAAAAAATGGATAATATTCGGTAGTTGTAATAACTCGAAATCATATAGTGATCAAACCGACAGTTAAGATTCTATCCAAAACCCTGATATAAAGCATGAAGACCCTCAAGTTTATCTAGCTATCCATTTAAACAAATATCGTTTAAAGCGCTTGAGCACAAGATAAGCCTCCGCTGTATCGTAGGATTACGACTGCCTTCCAGGGTTTTAATGTAAGACAGCAATCCAAGTGTCGTCATCAAACTGATAAGTTGATGACTGCAAAAAAGAAACTTAAAGGAAACTAGAAAAACAATGCACCCATAGATGACCAGTGTTTGGAAAAGCGATAGTCCCATTTGCAATTGTCTGAATTGAATTGTTTTATCATTGAAAACCACGGCGAACGCCGATTTCTTGCCAATTAACACAACTTCATGCAAACAACTAAAATATTAAGCATAGATGTACAACATCGAGATGAAATTAATCGAAACCACAGGTCGCGCCTGTCTGAAAGCAGTCTGACGGAGAAGTTCAGGGCACAACAGGATCATCAAACAACAAACAGAAAACACAATAGGACTTTCGTCGATGCATATCCCGGGGCACATTAGATACGACTCATGACAATAATGAATCACTTCAAATGTCTTTCAATCAACGTTTTCTACTGTATTCGTACTTGAAAGCTTTTTCGGAGAACATTACTCTCCCGGGTTTTCGGGTTACAGCCAACGACACAAAACTGTGCAACTTTATTGCGGTGAGTGCAGAAAACAGAAACAGGATATCTTGACGCACTAGCAATTGTTGGTGACCAATAAATCACGCCTTGATGGAGTACACTTCCTATGCGATTACAGTGAAATCAAAGTTTCACTCGGGTCTCATCATTGAAACCTTCTAGCAAATTGCAGTAAATAGGTGGACAGAATTAAATACATTATAGAGAAAATCGAGACTGTATGAAAATATTCCAAAGGTACACGAAAAAACGAGAGTAGATTTACCATCTATGATTGCATCATGGTTACTCCATTACCAGACTGAATTTAGCGTCAAGCTTAGAAACGGAAATCGCATAATACCACATCCGTTGTGAAGCCAATATACTTCTGGTTTATAATCAGTCGTTTGTTCAGTCCTATCGTTCATAAGAGAACAAAATTTTAGAATCCCATATAATTTAAAAAAAGACAATCAAGTACCAAGACACGCAAGACCAAAATTCCTGTAAGTTCATGCCCAATGATTTTAGAATTATTTATTTCACCAAATGATGTGTATAGTTGATCGAGATGCCCTTTAAACACGACAAAACGCGCAGGACACATTATTTAGAATAGGCACAATAATAATTAACTTGCTATTTCCATTATCATACTACTACCTAGTGGTAATCTTTCTCAAGGAATTTTTTCATTTCTTTTTTATTTTGCTTCCTTTTATGGAATATACAAAGATATCACAATTTTTAAGGAAGGGAGAAGCGGTCAATCAGAGGGCTGCCATTCAACACACAAAGGGTAAAATCAGGCGGTGGTGGTGCGGTTAGAACACACATCCCCGGGGTGATAATTTGGTGACGTTACCACCGGGCCACCACCGACCGAAAATGATACGTTAGAGAATGTATGCAGTGATACTCGGAATGACCTCATTCGTCAAGCAATTCTGGAAAACTAAGGGGAGTCAACAAAACGAGAATACCATTCACGAAGTGAACTAAAAGAAATCCTCGCTGGATGGAGTTAAAAAAGAACGTATATATAATCACATTATTCAACGTACCAATCTTCAGAGGGAAACCAGAGGGCAACTGTTTCGTTAGAAATTCCTTCAACTTGTGGAAATAAGGGTTATATTCAGACATGAGATCGATTATAGGAATAACTTGATCCTTCAACGAGAGTGGAAAATCACGACACAACCACAAACGAGCCTTAAACGTTTTCACTTTTGTTGTCATCGCACGGGGACGACCGATATCCACAAACGTTTTTGTGGTTCCATCCATGTTGAAGTATTGTTGAACCGAAATTTCGTTGGGGTTGTAACTGGGAGCTTCCTACACAACCGACAAAAGAGTATGAGCGATATGCATGAATTAAAGATCCAAGTGAATGTAAAGAGACGCAAATCATTGGTCAGCGACCGCCAGAACTTGACGGATACTAGAAACGGACAATCAATACGAGTCTTCTAACCAAGTGGGTACTACACGAGGTATTTATATTTGAAAACCATAGTAAATTATCACCAGTCTTGGTAAAATCGTAAAGGGAGGCCAACGCATGAAATACTCAAAAAGGAAAAGATTTACTTCCTCGATAGCAAAGGCAAATAATGGATCGGACTACGCTAACTGCCTGAACGGTTTCTTTACTATTCAGATTTGCAGTGATTTATTACTTAAATAGGAGAATAATCATCAAACCGTGTCGTACCACGCGATGGAGATTATTACCAGGGTAAAAGTGGCAATAGTAACCTCTAAGATCGTAAAATTAAAACACAATTTGTTTTTTCTGTACAGCGACGGAAACTGTAATACAATCCGTTGAAGACCAACCATATGAGCGTGATAAACCAAATTGGTGATAAACAATACCTTGAGATATACTTCAAGATGCGTTAAATTTATACCCAGTACTTGACAGATGGCTTTTGGAGAGGTTAAAGCCATGTCACTGAGATCGTGAGTTTCAGCGTTTTCGTTTTGAGGAAGCTAAAAACTAATAAACCTTTTACGACGTTCATAGCGTTGCATGTTTTTGAAAATATCCGCGGTATCTATGATGTAATAATTATCACACTGACAAATAGTTAACAAACAAACAGAGGCGATGCTAAATCCAACAGGGATCAACGGTAATGATGACGGTTGTATAGACAAAGCATGATCTCAACAATACCGTGGACATTCTGCGGTTTACGAATAACAGTACTCGAAGCAGTAGCACAGAACAAAATCCTTTATACTACAAAACTGATGTTACAACAAAAGCAGCCTACAAGTCATCCTCAATGTTTCACGAATACTTTGAACAAGAGATACGAGAAATAACAGATACAGGGTAAATCAAACCAAATACAAGGAATTCGGGATTCGGATTCGGCGAGTTATGTTTGTAGAGGCAGGTAGCGGATGGAAAAACGTCAAGGGCGATCAAGCTAGACCTAGCATGAAGGTATGAAAACCCTAACCAGGAGACTGGGTCACATAGGTCCCGTTAGGTTCCCTGGATGGAGACCGGAAATCATGGTAACCGGTGACTAGAAACACTCAGTGATATGGATGTGTCGCAAACAGCGGCGGTCGTACATCTACTCAATATTCTTGCAACCCCAGTCTATATATGAATTCTCCATCTTCCGCTTGAATTTGCTTTCAACATTCCAATCTTCATCCTACTCCTTTATCCAAATGGGCGAACAAAAGACAGCAACCAAAACTGGTGCAAGAAAAAGTATGGCTCATGGTTGTAAAACTGAAACTGGATAGTAAAAATATTATCAATCTTTTTGAGTTACGACAATAATGATGCTATTATTGATTCTTCTTGAACATATAATTGCATGACGTCCATAGCACGCAATGGCTGTTACACTCTGCAGGGACAGAATCTTCCACCCCCACCCCTCTGGAAGTGGAGCAGAATCAGTTACCCTGTTGAACAACCTACAGCAAATGGTTGATTTCGCGACCCGCACCCTCCACCATGCCAGTGACTACGCTTATAAGTTATTCCTCTCCTAGTAACCAACCCACAATTATTTTCCAATAATGCAACAGTTTCTCCTTGGGTTCATAGGACCATAACCAGACGCCCGCTCTGGAAATACTGCTCCGCTGATTGGTGAAACTTTCGTAACTTTCAGACTTCTTGTCCCTGGAATTACTGTTACTTTTCCATCGATGTTCCCATCGCGGATTCGAAATTTTTCACTTTTTTTGCAAGATATGCATTGATGTTTTTCTCACTTCGCTGAAACCGACAATGCTTTAACCACGTCTGTTGTCACGCTGTTCGTAAAGAGCAATCAGGTTCATGGGGTCACTTACCTTCCCCTTCCCGATCCCGCAAATTGTTCCTGTAAGCACACTACAACTGTACAACCATCATACATAAAGCTAAAGGGTTTTGCTGAGCACAAAGCAGCATGGTTATCAACCGCTTCTTCTGGAAACCGGACGTTCTGGTCACTTGCTACGGTAGCCTCTCGTTTCTTCTGTTCCACTAACGTCTCATTCATTATTAAACCGTTTAGCCACTTAGCGTTCGATCCGCTTGAAAAAAAGCCAAAGTATTTGGGTCACGCTTCGCTCTCCATTCTACTCTACCCGAATCATCCATTCAACCCTCCACACACCTTGCCGTGAATCATTTAGTTACACCACTCATTTCCACCAGAAACATACGTCAGGTCCTCTTGGATTGTATTGAAGTTTTAGCGAGCTATAAACAACCTTTCAACCAAAAAGAGACCACCATCACAATACTGGCCTCAAAAGCGGAAAAAAGTGGGACACCAAGAGAGCAAAAATGTGAATTAACTACTAAATCCATCAGAAAGCTCATAACGAACACTTGTCGGTCAGTATCTGGGCCGCATAGGGTACCAAAATGTTTCTGTGGGCAGATATTCGAGAAGGGATTAAAGTCATAGTAAAAGTTTTACTATGGAAAATACTTACAAGCGGTTGCTTTCCTTGTCCCGTAGGGTTTAGCCCAAACGGATCGATGTACAGCTCATAGAAAGATGAAGAATGTCGCAAATTACCTTTGTTTCGTGCACTGCTACGGATGTCGAAATTTAACTTTTCAACGTTTCACTGCTGAACATTCACCCTTTAGGTGCATACAGCTTTTCTTGACTTGACTTGTGATTGAAAGAATCAATTAGGGGCACAGATACAAAGTAAGGTGGTAGAGAATTCCAAATACTGTACACTCTGAGGGCAAATGAATGACGTCTGGCACTCTAGTTGAAATCTTTGGAGCATTAGTTTGAATGAATGCCTCCTGGGGTGAGTGTTGGGCGATAAGGTGAACAGCGAACGACACGGTTAATCAGGGTTCTGCATTATTTGATGCACCAAAATCAAATCCCCTTGAATTCGGTGATACTGTTTGGAGTACAGCCCAATATCTTGGAATGCAGTCCCTTGACAATTTTGGTGACCAGTCTTTGTGGACGTTTCAGAATCTTACATTCGTGTTGCAGTCATGGATTTCACGTATGAATGGTCTGCTCTAGGTGGGGTTCAATGTAGGCTGATAACAAACGTGGAAGCAGCATAGGTTCAAATTTACCAAATATTCGCTTTAGCAAACCAAAATTTCTTACAGCCGTGGACAATGTCCTGGAGTAGTTTAAAGAAAAAACTTAGGCTAACTTGAACAATGACACCAAGATCCTGCTCATCCCAGGCATACGGAAGTTGTTGATATCCCAGAAAGTACGGAAACCCAGTTTTGTGGAGAAGGGGATACGACCGTTCATTTTAGTGCATTGAATTCGATGTCGTTCTCGATCGACCATTGATGCGCAGCATCAAGTGTTCCCTGAAGTATCAGTGCGTCCTCAGGTTTTGTCACTATTTCCCATATTTTTTGCATCGCCTACAAGCACTAACGTTTGTGGCCCCTGAATGGCCGTTAAATCGTTTATGAAAACGGCTGAAGGAGTGGGATTGGCATGCACACAGGGTAAAGTGTAAACGATGGGTGCAATCAGACAAAAGCCCAAAAGCGTTTGGTTCAGTCACTCCAACTTCCATGGTCCATGATCGATCGGTCCCGAGTGTGGCCGCCGTCCAGTCACCGTGATGCCGTAACTTGGTTAAACCAATCAAAGGACAATTGCCAGTTGACTATGACAAACTCTAATCCATGATTGGTGATGTGTCTAACTGTGTGATCTATTTTCTGATGTTACCTATGTAATCTGTAAACGGCTTGAGAAGGAATTATTGAAAAACAATTGTATCGCCAGACAGAATATTGTCAGCAAACTTTCAGCACGTATCAATATGAGCATCGCAGGTATTGTCAATTGGAACAGATAACTGAGCTTGAGAAACACGAGTAATAATTGAAAGGTTACGCCTCACCAGATTGGAATCGGCCTTCAGTAAACCAGGGAAAATCAGAGGGGAGCAGTAAAAGAGTATAGAGAGAACACATTGTTGAACAAAGGCTCTTATCGTCAATAAATCAGAACAGAAGCGGAGCAGTCTTCTTATATGAAAGGAGAGAACTTTCTGCTTGCGAGCAATAGTTGGGTATTTAAAGACCAGCGAAGGTTACTTTGAAGAGTGACACCTAAGTACTTCACATGGTTGACCCTGCTTATTGGCTTTCCCTGAATCTGTACACTGTCGGAGTGAGATAGGAAACGGTTTAAAGTAAAAATGCATCCAAGGCATTTTTCGGGATTAAGATTAATATCGGATAAAGTGGAATACGTAACGATGTGGGATAAGTTTTTATTATATGCAGTATATTCTGATTGGTTTGATACAGAGACAGAGATGGCGATTTCATCAGCATACTTAAAATGTCTTACAGGGGGAGTAATGCGTAATTCACTGATATAAGTCGCAAAAAAGGTAAAGTGATAAGATAGCACCTTGAAGTGCATCCAAACTATTGAGTGACGCCGTTGACTGTCCTCTCCCCAACTTAACATACTACCTTTAAGAAAAGTAATTACCAAGCCATTCAAGAAAAGAATTGAGACAACCAAACGATTGGAGCTTATTACGTAAAAGATGAAGGGGGCATCAGAGTATTACCCCTGGAAAACATTTGAACTGTTTTCCATCCCAAAACGCGGCGACCACTCAGACCCCAATAATAATCAATCCATCTTTCTTGCACCAGTCACGTCGAATTTTATGGAATCAGCTACTGTTGATCAACTCCATCACCACTTGGAGAAGGACAAGGTGTTCAGCGATCGTCAGTACGGCTCCCGATCCCATCGATCTACTGGTGATCTTCAGACGCTCTTCTGGCGTATATGGTCCGCAGCACAACCGTGAAGGAACCCATGTGGTGCTTCTGGATATTTAGAAAGCTTTCTATCATGTCTGGCACGCAAGGCCATAAACACACACAACGAAGACGAAGTTACGAAAACAAGCCTGTTCGCTATAATGTTTGGCTTCTGATATTCCTATGGGAATCTTCCACAAACTGCCTTTCTTGGGGAATTGTGTCCTGGACAGTAAGCTATCTCAAGAGCCGCAACATCCCCGTTCGAGTAAATGGGACCATGTCTCGTTCCGGATCTGGTGTCTGCCCTGGTTCTTTACTTTGCCCTCCATTTTTTCTGATGTTCACAAATAACATTCTGCCTTCGACTTCAAATCCTATTCACAACTTTGCTGATGAAGCTACTGTATACTCTCTTTTGTCCTATTCTTCTTCAGCCACCACTAACTCCAGTTTTCATGATGGCTGCTCCCCGCTCAATAACTCTAAATTTTGTCCATTCCTCTTAAACACGAATGTTTCTTTCTAATTAAATTGCAGCGCTAACGTTCTCCGTTCAACAGATTCATACAACTTATTGGGGCTATGCTTATCTTCTTTTATATTATCACCGTATATTTTTTAATAGCCTTTGGCGCTGTGCACTAAATCGGTTTCCAATTAGCGCCAGACGTTTCTTAGTCACCATTCATTTTCCCTCGCTTTACAAAGCTCAGATTTGCCCTACATCTGAATACTGCATTCATGTGGGGGATAGAGCTTCATCCATCTTTCTATCCCTTCTTAATCAGATTCAACTTAAGGTCATTCGTCTCATCAAGGACTCGTCTCTAACGCGTAACTCGCAGCCACTAGCTTAGCATCGAGCAATCGATTGTTTATCCTTTTTTATTTCACCGATAATATTTTGTTTTCGTTTTACCGAATTTGCCTCTTCTACCCCTCTCACTTGTTGATCCTCGTACGTCCTGTACACAAGTGGCTAGTCACCCAAGAGTCGCATTTCAGTCATCTTCTTCCCGAGAATAGCATAACAGTGGAACACCGTCTCGTTAGGTCTTCCTCACAATTTTCGAAATGCGTATTCCTTTAGAGACTCAACAAGCTGGTTCTAGCTAGAATGTTCCCTGTACCATCCCATGTACAGTATAACCTTGGACTTTTGAGTTTAGCCCTTTTACTGTACTCACTTAGGAGTAATGAAAGGTTAATCGTGCATCCAATTCATAGTGTTGGCGGTTTATCACGTGGCTTCCAACATTGTAAGTCGCTAAGCTAGAACTCCCGATCACCGGGTCAGTGTGATGGTGGATTCAACTACTTGACCAAGGCCGATCCCGTTAAACCAATTAATTTTCTGAAACATTGATAACACCTAGAATCCCTGCATTAAATTGAAACAGAAATGAAACATGCGTGCGCATGGTAGTGCAGACTGACCCTATTTAGAATTGTTCGCCACCACAGTAGTAGACAAGCAAGTTTACTTTGCCTCTCTGACATGACCGTGGTACACAAACACAGGTGCGCATATACATCTGAGCCGAACATATTTCGGTCAACCAGCAAACGTTCATGAACACAGGCTATGTGGCACTTACATGCGAAGCGTCCAGAGTTGGTTTGTCCCTGGATTCGGATGCTGCAGTTTGTAGTAGGTTGGTGAGCAGATTGCTGTGACCGCCCGGAAATACGATGTCCACCGGACCATGTTCGGTATTTGCTCCGTCCTCTGAGCGACGCTGGTTCAGGTCACGCAAATTCTCTTCAGTCAAATGCTCTGTGCGGCGAAGCGTGACAATTTGCACATTTGAAGCACAGTAGACCTGAAATGCAGACCAAACGCTTGGCATTCCATAGGCGACTAGTAATGTTCGTGATATGGTTGAACTAATTTTTGAAGAATGTGAGTAGTGAAATTCAATGCCATAACAAATCGTAAATTACCGAACAGAACCAGTAATATGGGTTTCCTGGAGCAAACCTAATAAGGGTTCGTAACAAAGTAATAAAAGAATGATGAATCAGATAGATCTGCCTCAAATTTCTATCAAAGCTATTGTTTACGATTGAAAGGTAAACGAATGGAGCCATAAAGATATAACTGGGTTAAATGATGACTTTGTCACAATGCATTATTTCAGTGTGTTCCTCTAATTAAAAAAACAAATTAGGTGCAACTTATTTTACATTTGGATTACAAGACACGGAAAAGCCCACGTTCTGAAGAAATTACGAATTTTCTTACCTGACAATTGTGGTTGTTAATTACTTCTTTTCGGTCGCTTCGCCAACCCCAAATTCCAGATTTGCTTCTGAAACGCGAACAATAGCGGCAGGGAATTTTTGTGGTCAAAATTCATTTATTCGAACAAATACCGTTGTATCTTAGATACACACTTTAATAATCAATTTTTAAAGGGAAAAGGTGCACCAATCATGGAATGGTGAGAAATGAAGCAATGTATGACCCAATCGACCGCTAAGTTTACCATCAATAAATATCAACATCATCCCACATTGCAATACAAAGAAACGAATTTCACTGTTTGCTGCCAAGAACACAATAGGTTTAAATTAAACCGGAACAAAGTAAAATGTATCGGACCCCGGACGGTTTGGAGGAATAAAAAAGGACTATTGAATTGTTTTACTGTACTTGTGCGCCTGATTGTTTACTCCCTTTTTATTATTTTCGAACATACAAATATAGATTTAAGTGGCGAGGAGAGGACAATCAAAGTCTTTTGTCTCACTAAAATTGTTGACTTAAAAATACTGTTCGTTTAGGATTCGAACAAGTGTTGAGATTCTATAGTGAGTATTCCGCAAGTGTAATGCACTGAATGAAAATCTAGTTTGATTACTGCTCTAAACAATTAGTTCAGACACTTTTATACCATGATTCGTTAGCACCCCACCTAAAACCAACCTATCCTGGAAACATCTAGGGATCAACTTAGTTTAATTCAGTTTTTACAACCATTAACCACGGTGGCGGTTTTGGTTGCTGCCTTCTAATTTCCCATTTCAGTGTCAGAGTGAAAAGGGGTATCATGAAGACCAAGATTTCAAGTA